CAATAGTTAAGGAAACATTGTTTCAGCATTGATTTTTTGCATTTATTGATAAATCATAAACAACTGAGTACTGTCCGTGATACTTTTTTTATTTGCACTAACATACAATTTTCAGGACAAGCTTTCAGGGTATGTCCCTTTCTTCAAGGTCCAAGCAAGACTACTTCAAGTTTTAGCAGAATGTTAAAAAAAAAATTTCTGAGGGGAAAAAAAAGAAACAGAAAAAACACACACAAACAAATGTACATGGAAACGGTTATAAAACTAGGATTAGACTAGAGATAAGACAGAGCAAAAGCAAAGACTGGGGTATGGGGTGGGGTTTGGGATGACAGTCACAGAAGGGGTCGTAAAACTGTTGCATAATGAACAAGGAATTCCATGTCAAAATTAAGGCCGTTATCTTTTGTATCAAATAGAAATATCATTGTTAGTTCAAAAGTTTTACTTTCCTGAATAGTTTTGAAATTCCCTTTAAGAACTAAGATATTGAGGTCTGCCATAGTGCAGTCCAGTTGTGAGAAATAGTGTCCCACAGATGTGCAGAAGTCATCTTCTTTATGTTCCTTGATGGGATGTCTGTGCAAATTCATCCTTGTTCACAACGTCTGTCTTTTTTCGCCAACGTAAGATCCTTTGCTACATCTTTTGCACTGGATAAGGTACACATTACTGGAGGTACAGCTGTATGATCCGGTGATATTGAAGATCCCTTTTGAGTGTCTGACACTTTTTGTTGGATTAATTTGGTTGCACTGTTTGCAGCGTTTCTTATTGCAGGGTTTGCTTCCATTATTTGTGACATTAGTTTCCTACTGATTAGTTTATGTCTGAGGTTGGGATGTTGTCTGAAAGCCAGTATTGGGGGTTGCTGGAATATTTCTTTCAGAGTTCCATTCTCTGTTATGATGGGTTGTAAAGCTTTGATTTTTTTTCTTATTCCTTCTAGTGCTGGGTTGTATGTAGTTACTACATACAGGTACATGGTTGTTTGTTGTATTCTCTTTGTATTGAAGTAGATTTTCTCTTCGGGTTTTAAAGGCTGTGTTTATGCTGGTGTTGATAATTTTGTCCTTGTAACCTTTCTTATGGAAGGATTCTGCTAGTGTCCCGAGATGTTTATCTCTGTCTTCCGGGTCTGAACATATTCGGTGGTATCTGATGGCTTGTGTATGATGGAGTGTTTAGTGTGTTGGGGGTGGAAGCTAGAACTGTGGAGGTAGTTGCTTCTGTCAGTGGGTTTCCTGTATATTGAGGTGTAAAGCGTATCATCCCTGATGTATACTGTGGTGTCTAGTAAGATGACGTGTGTTTGAGCATTCCATTTTTAGTTTGACTGATTTGTGAAAAGTGTTGATCAATGACTAAAATTGTTTTAGATTTTCTTCACCTTCTTCCATGTGATGAAAATATCATCAATATAGCATTAGTATCTGTATGGTTTTTGTTGCATGCTGTTCAGGAATTTTTCCTCCAGGTCAGCAAGTGCACTAATACGACTACAATCACCTCTAGCAAGATGGAAGATACAGTACTTGATAAGATCAAAAAGATTCCCCGGCTGGCTACTGTAGTAACAGAAGTTATTTTATGGAAAACCACAAATATTTATACACTTTTGGTTATGTAAAAGAAAACGTTAGTCCTAGGCATTAAAATTAGGTCTTTTGAATTTGGCAATACAATTCCATATATAGCCCTGTTCTAAAGAGACTGTGAAATGGTTTTGTATTTCTTTATTTATATTTATTTCTTATGGCCAGAGCAAAATAATGTAAATGTAAAAAAAAATTTCTAGTGAGGTAAATTGAACATTTTATGTGTAAATTATTATTATGTAGTTTTCTATTCAGCCAGCATGTGGATATTTAGACTACTTTTCATATTTGCCACTTTTTCCTTTGTACCTTTAACCCTTTTGCTGTCAGGCCCTGCTCTCCATTTTTTAACTCAGGTGGCAAGACCATTTTGGCAATTTTTCCATTGCTTTTTTTATTTTTCCCTTACAGCTTTCAGAGTTAGTGAAAGACCTCCCAAACCATACATTTTCTGAAAGCATAGACCCAGTAGATTTTTTAGGCCCTGTGATTTTCGCGCAAATGTTCATCAAATGGCTATTTTCACTGAAAATACAATAAATCCATATTAGTGGATACATACATGGCAAAGTTTAGAAAATTCCTGATAAATTCCTACTAGATATAAAAGTTAAAACTGTATTGAGTTAGTATATAACAAGTATTTGTAAATTTTGAATTGTGCCTTTTTGTGAAATGGGGAAAACTGAAAGTGTGCAAAACTGTAAATAGGAACAAGTTACAATAAAAGTTCTCATTTTTCCCTTACAGCTTTTACAGTTTGTAAAATACCCCCCAAACAATATATTTTCTGAAGGCAAAGGACCTATAGAATTAAAAAAAAGCAACAAATTTTTTTGGCCCTGCAATAGTTGCGCAAATGTTCATCAAATCACCGTTTTCACTAAAAATGCACTAAAATCATTATTAGAGCACACAAATACAACATAACTTACGAACGTCCTCCTTAATTGCTACTAAGGCTTACACATGGGCGTACTAAAGTGTATGCCCGTGGAGGACCATGTTTACCCACATGGGGATGCCCAGGTGGTCCGCGCCAATTGAATTACAAAATTCATGTCATTTGAGATGCAGTGGCTGCACACACATAGCCACAGCTTTCCAATCTGACATCCTTGTGGGTGTGGGTGCACAACCCCAAATGCAGGCAATATGAAATCAGGGACATGCACCCAGTCCCACATGGATGCCAGTTTTGGAGCAAAGGCTGTGTTTGTGTAGCTACATCCCAAATGACATTAATTGGACTGCCTGCACAGGGCTGCATGGAACACCTGTGCATCCCTGTGCAGGTAAGCATGGCCTTTCAGGGGCGTATGCTGTAGTATGCCCTTCTTGAACAAGGCCTTAATATGTAGTGTTTATTTTTTAATTTGATTTATTTTTATTTATTTATTTTTACAGTTTTTTTCAATATTTTATGTTTTTTATTTTAGGGGGTTGGGGGGGGGGCTTTGGTGAGATATCAGAGATTTAAGCAGGCCCCTGATGTCTCGTCATGTGAGGAGGAGGAATGCAGGTCCGTACGGACCTGGCCTGTTAGAAGCAGTGCTGTAGGTCCGTACACCATACAAACATGGCAGTGAAAAGGTTAATGCAAAAAAGGCTGCTCAATTCAAAAGCTCAAGCTTGAATTTACACACACGTTAATGAGTCAGTGCAACAACTATCCCTTATCAAACAGCTTCATCTGACATAGTAAGTTAAAAGGCATGTACTATAGCTTCTGCTGTGTTGTCTTGTTAGTTATCCCATAGTGCTTTTGGATACTTTGTCATCCACTGTTTGTAAAAAGGATGTATTAAACACAGTAAACACAGAAATTCAAAATATAAATAAAATAACAGACCCCAAACCTTTATAGTTTTGCTTTAAACTACAATAAAAACAATAATTGGTTCTTTAACCTTGGGAAACTCAACTTTCACTTCAATTTATATCATCAAGATTTCCACAAAAAATTCTCACACAGCTGTACCACATGAATTCAACATAATGTAAAATAAATGAACAAAGGGAGAATCCAGCTGGATGACTGTGATTTTTATGTAATGGGCTCATTGTGAGGTGACCACATGTGGAATTATAATAAACTCCTGCATTCTTCAATGTATTAACAATCACCCAATTCTAAAATGTTAACTTTGGGTAGATGTAGCCTTTAAATGGAATCTAATGTGTTTTTGGACAAGTTTTTTTTTTTTCAGAAATTCATAAAATGATACTTGATATACAGTAATTTTCATTATCCTATAGTACTAAAAGGAGAGTGACTGCAAACAAAGCCTACACTGGAAAAAGCCACATATACTGTAGCTCCTTTGCAGACTTTTTTTCTCAACTCTGACACTATGCCACTGTTGCCACAGGGGCACTCTCGTGGATGTTGGACTTACCTTCTTCTCCTTGTAGCCCAGCATTTCTCACTGCAGCAGCAGTCCGCGGCTTCCAAGAGAGGAAGGTAAGCACCATACTGTAGGAACTGCTGAAGTAAGGAGTATGTAAGGCCAAACAGGGTAGGTGAAGGGGATGCTGTGGCGCAGAGTCACAACTGGTAACCCAGGCAAAGCTTACATATCTTCCCTCATTAGCTCTGGTACATGCAAGCAGCACATTTTGCTTGTCTGTGTAAAACCCTTATCATAAAAACATCAAGTATTGTCTAATAAGAAACCCCAGGACTGGTTCTGAGATTTTTGCATGTTCTAGAAGATTAAAAATCCAGACAGGCTCTGTCTTTGCCAAGGAAAGAGAAGGGAAGTGTGAGCCTCCTTTGATTCTTGTGCCTGTCTTTGTGTGTGTAATTTGAACTCCAGTATTCACAGCTTAATGCTGGTATACACCGGCCAAATATCTTCCATATTGGCCAGCTCAACAGAAACCAGCCAACATTTGGTCTGTGTGTACAGAAGCCTGTTTGAAAAAACATGTCAAAAGAGCATGATGGAAAACCAGCATCTGATCAGAGCTCACAACCATTGGCTACGAGTGCTGATCAGTGCGTTTTGAAGGCGGGGCAGTCCCCTTGTCAAAACACAATAGTCAGCCGGGGAGATTGCTGCACCAACATGGCTTAATTAGTATAGTGACATCTGGGTTGAACATAAAAAACTTTCCGTGTGTACCTAGCTTTATTAAGAATCCAGCTACCTTTCATATTCACCAAATTACAACTACAAATGGTTAATATCTCATAATTACATTTAATATTTTATAAATATTAAGTTAACTTTAAAATATGTAATTTGTGGTCCTGGACGCACATAAAGGCTAATTTTACAAAGCAAGCCATACTTTCAGTGTTCACTGGATTGGATTATATCTGTTCCAAACTAATATATACAGTATATGTTAACTGTTTTTGTATTACTTAACTATGTAATTTTCTTGTATTGGAAGGTTTAATTGATAACTCCGGACTTAAACTGTATTATACTCCACAAACAAGAAAATATGATGCTGGTGTTTTAGAGGCAGGCATTTGGGTTAGCCTATATCACATGATCCCACCAGGTATGCCTGCATTCAGCTCCGAAGGACACTGCACTGTGGAATGTTTGGAAGAGGTGTGTGTAGTGACTGCTTCTTTACTAATCAAATTGTTTAACAGAATACATAGCTAAATTGACCTAATTTGATGATAGCTGGCTTTTGTTTGAGGGTAAATTAGCTCCCTGGTTATTCATAGACTCTTCAATATCAAATCTGCTAGTTGAAAAGTCTGTTTTTTTTGCCATGTATTTCATTATAGTGCAAATACTTCCATTTTCTATTAATGAATTAAAGCTCAGACTAGGTGCTAAACAGCTATAGCTGTAAAACATGGTTATACAATCAAATATGTGAAAGAACAAGGTACAAAAACTCATCTCTAAACTGAACTGAATCTGCCCCTTAGCCAATCTGCACAATCCTGTTTTATGGGAACCATATATCATTGTGCTGTCCTAGCAATTTCTTTAGGATTACATGTTGAGTTGTCTTTTGGTGACAATAAGGGGTTTATTTACTAAAGCTGGAGAGTCCAAAATCAGACTCCCTTCTGCATAGAAACCAATCAGCTTCCAGGTTTCATTGCCAAAGCTTCATTGAACAAGCTGAGGTTAGAAGCTGATTGGTTTCTATGCAGAAGGGAGTCTGATTTTGGACTCTCCAGCTTTAGTAAATAAACCCATAAATGTCTATTGCCTGGGTTGGATTTATTTCAGCCAATAGACTGGGGTTTTCTCAGACAGCAGTGTTGGAAAGAATATTCTAATACCAGGCTCTTGTGCACTTGAAGACATTAACAGTTAAAACGATGATGGGAATTTTTATTCCTTAATGAATCTTCTGAAGTTAATTTATTTTTACATGACCTTGGTACATTTTTCACTAAATATATAAAAGCATATTACAATTCATAAATATAATCACATTTTAGGCATAGTTTTTTAAAAGATTGTTGACAGTAACCCTCACAAAAGCATTTCTAATATACAAAAAATTATGTGTTTTGAACCAAAGAAACAAAACATTTGTTTGTGGCCAAATCAAGAAGCTGATAATTGTCTCCATTCCTCATGTACCAGATGTGTCATAGATGTAAAATGGATTTTTCTAACAGCAACAAATGTTTTTTTTCCTTTGACATTCAGTGTTCTAAAGAACGTCAGACAATTTAGAGAAAAGGCTTTTGTATCATATTACCCATAACTACATTTATTAGGGAAATCTAAGCAAACCTTTTGTTGTTGGACATTAATTAAGACATCTGTACAATAAAATAAAGTATTTGCTTACATTTTTGCTAGGCTCTGAACTATGAAAAGCCAGATGGCATCCATGTATTTGCTGTTCTTCTACATGCTCATCAAGCCGGGCAAGTCCTCCGAACTCGTCACTTCAGGAAAGGAGTTGAGCAGAAGTTACTTGCTTATGACAATGAATTTGATTTCAATTTTCAAGAGTTCCAATATCTGGATGAAGAAAGGACTATCTTACCTGTATGTGTTTAAAAGAAAAAGGCATTCATTCAAAACATAGGTTTCTCAACACAATCTTAATAGTAGCATTGTGCACCTTCTTCAGAAGGAATACTTAGCTCAACCTTTCAACCAATTATCAATTACAAACAAAGCTACATTCTGTGGTCAATGGCAGCTACCAAAGACCCCCACACAGGGGTATTTTATTACTCCACATAGATTGGTCATGTAGCACTTATGTAAGACACCTTAATCTGATTCTTATCTTTGCCACACTCTCTTCTCACTGTTGCTCTTCATAAGAACTCATCTGATGCAGTTTCTCAAGGACATAAGTTTCTTTATCACCTGGTAATGGGTGCTTGTCTGGAATTTTCTCCTAGTCACCTCCATAGAGGTGGATATGGAGCAGTTCACACATGAAATAAATTTCACACATGAAATAAATCAAATAGTGTAAAGCCATTTATTAAAACATTATACAAAACATGTCACTTGTAAAAGTTTTTTCCTGTACAGACTTCATCAGGAGCACCTAATTCCTCAGAAGCAGTCCAGCAGACAATTTCGATTTCCTATCATGAATGCTGCTGCCAGACTCATCCACCTTACCAACAATTCAATGTCTACTATCTACCACTCACCCAACAAATTAAATTCAAAATACTAACAACAACTTACAAAGCCATCTACAACTCCCCCAGCTACAGTACATCATTAACCTAGTCTCAAAATACCAACCACATCGCACTCTTCTTTCCTCCCAAGACCTCCTGCTCTCTAGTTCCCTTGTCACCTCCTCCCATGCTCCCCTGCAGGACTTATCTCAAGCATCTCCCATCCTATGGAATTCCCTACACCAATCTGTCCAACCATCTCCTACTCTTTCTCTTTTTCAACATGCCTCATTAGCTAAACACTAATTAAATACTGTTGAATAATAATAAACAATAAGGAATGATCATTCAGTTGCAAACCTGCATGTATGCATACTATACAACTTCATAGCTAAAGTCAACCAATTTATTCACTTTTTTCCAGGGAGATAACATCATTACGGAATGCCAGTACAACACAAAGAGCCGATCCACAATGACATGGGTAAGAGAGATTGATGCAATTTATGCACTCTGTTGCCTATAATGATATTTCATTTTTTTAGAAGCAATACAAATTCAGCAGATAGAATTGACACATTCTATATAGGTACCATTTTTTATTTTCAGAACAGCATTGTTTCTTTACTCAAGTTACACCTATTCTGATTCAGCCAGCTACAACCTACTGTATGTTTTCACTAGACTGATTTACCATTGGAAAAAGCTACAATATGTGCTTAATAATAACACACAGTAGCTGTGCTATTGTTAGCAAAGTAAATACAACCTTTTTACACAATAGTCTCAATTTACCAATTTTTCACACTAGGCTAAAGCACTCTATTTTCAACCATGTGACTGTAATTAAAAATTCTGTTGGGCTTTACTAAGGGCTTGTTCATACCATGGTGCAGAGACACCAGTATTTCTGTATGCATTCTGCAAGGGCACAACAAAATCAATTGTTCTCCAAACACTGGTATCACATGCAGATTTTTTTCTGTGCAGAAATCTGCAAAGTGTATAAAACTCTTTCAAGCGTACATGAAAACTGATGTAAACTGATGTCTCTGCAAGTGAAATCTGTGCTTCAGTTTCCATCAGTCACAGTCACTTATTTGAAAATAAGGATACTTTTTCTGGCATGTTAGCTTTGTAAATCGAGCCTAATATTTTTTAATATGCACATTAATACAATATTTTCAAAAGTCTTAATTTTGCAAATCCTCAAATAGACAGGGTTTGAGAAAAAAGTATATCAACCATATCCAAATGTACTAGAATTGATTGTATGTTCAACTACAGCTGGTATGAAACAACTTTGCAGGCAAATTGTGTCTGTCTTTAAAAGACAGAGATGACAAAAGCACAATAAAATCAGAAGCAGCATTAATCCATTATCTTTTTATACTTGTTCCAGGTCAGTGACCTATAAAATATTGCATCTAATGCAGCAGTATAGAGAAGAAGAGTTTAGCAATGGCAGCCTACAGATTTTCGGATGTCAAGTATTTTTTAAAGTATAAAGTAATTTAAAGTAATATCACTTTAATACGTTAACTCTAGTGTAGTATAGTAACTAATGTTTATTTACCAGACAGTTAAACTCATGTAAATCATACTCATGTTAAAATGCATGTTTTAGCAATCCAAAATTTGACTACATCCCTAGCAACAACTAAGCTGCAGAAGTAAGAGCTAGCTAACAAATCATTGTATAAGAATTTGCAACAGGCAAGAATTTTGATCACTGCTCAATTCTTCATTCCTAATTTTTTAGGGTGGTCTAAGTACAAGAGATGAGATGTGCCTTTCCTATTTAATTTACTATCCAAAGATTAATCTTGCCCGATGTGAAAGCATCCCTGAAATAAATGAGCAACTTCAGTTCATTGGTGTGAAAGAAATATACAGGCCAGTTACGTAAGTATATTCAGTTTTAGTAGCAGTCAAAACTGATTTTTTTTATCATTTATAAGTGCTCATGATTTTGTTTATCATATTGTTTAAAGAGAAAATGGTATACAAGGGAAACGATATGAAAGTATTTTGTGCTGAAAATAATGTCTTCCTAGGTAATGCAATCTTATAACAATATTATCTATTTCCCTCCCAGCAAAATGTACTTACACATGTGCATATATAAGAACTGTTACAAAAATTTAGATGAATGTGTTTTTTTAAGGTAATCAGAATCAGTACTAGGCCCCCTGCTCACAGGGCATTTGCTTAGCTCTCCTAATACTTTTCCTCTTCCTCAGCTTTATTGTCGAAAAAAATTCTAGACTCGTTTAGATATGTGTAGGCGCATCAGGCACTTGGGCATTAATTCATTTCATTGGCCACAATAATGTTTTATTCTGGCCATTAAAATGAATTAACACTCAAGTGCTTGACGTGCCTAATGTTTTGCACATTTGGATGAGTTGAGATGCGTTTACACACACTGAGTGTTTGTTCTGCCAAAACGCTGCTGCTCCTGGACACACTGGTAGTGAGGTTTTTTTTTTTTCTGCCTCTAAAAGGCCCTGCCACTAAACACTTAGGTGTGTATGGACACGTAGACTAACATAAAGGGGCATTTAAAAAAAAAAAAACAGACTTCTCTAAAAGCAACATTTTTACCACTCAGTGTGCATAAGGCTTTAATCAAATTCCGTAAAATTAATTTAGTTGAAGCTAAACTCCAGGCAAATATATACAGTCACGATATATTTATTTAATCTGTTTTTATCTGCCAAATTATTTATATTTTTCTCTATCCATTTCTGAAATGTACATAGCCCTGACTGATAGTAAAGTCAGATCAGTGACCTGCCATTTCTCTGTTGCGTTTATAGCAATACAGCCTGGTCACATTCCCTGCCACCTACAACTGGACAAGGATCAGCAGACTCCTTATGTCATGCTGTTGCTCACTGCTCTAATCAATATGTTCCTTGTTATAAAACATAAGATGCAGCGCTATATATAATACAGTAATTGTACCAGGTGAAAGTGCTAGTAAATGAAGTGACAATGGTAACAATACAAAGCTGTATGTGAGGCGCTTTGAGAATGGCGCAAAAGTGAATAATGGTCCATATGTGTCACGCTGGATAACAGCGAAAAGGTAATGTAAAGGTTACTGATATTAAGTGACAATAGTGAACATTCCAACATATAAACTGAATAAAATCATCCACATAAATATCACAGTAAAAAGTCCAAAAAATATCAGTGATGATCAGGTGAAAGGTGACTCCGTGATAAATACTGTAAATAGTAATTGATAGATCCTGACAATGTTTTATTCACGTATCATAAAAATGTATTTTGTGCACCTACAGGTCCTGGCCTTTAATAATTAAGAGCCCAAGACGATACAATAATCTAACTTTTACAGAAGCTATGAACACATTTCAGTGGTCTAGGAAGAAGGGAAATGCATTCAATGAACGAGTCAGAAAGATGCCAATAAATGTGAGGTGTTCTAAACATGAAAGTGGAGAATGGTCGGTAAGTACACAAAGCTTTTAAATAACTGTTATCCAACTATACAGATGCAAATAATTTTCTTTTATTTGGATTTCTGCACACACACTGCCTTTCACATTTCAAAGAACCAAAGCAATTGTAACAACTGAGAACACACTAGTTTTCAAAACGTTTTATTTTTTCGAATCGGTAAAATACCTGCTCCCCTTGCCATATGAATTGGTTCCTCCCAGTGGCTTGTATGTCCTGTGGTTAACATAGAGCTGCTAGTAGAAAACACTGTCTGCAGTGGGAGAAGAAGGTATCCACACACCAGGAATTGTGGAATACCTGCAAAAGCCAGGAAGCAATGAAGTGGCAGCATTTCAACACATGATCTGTTGAGCATGTAAGTATAGCACCTCTCTATTTACAGGTCTGAACTTTTTTTGTAAGTGATGTTGCTTGAGATTCGCTTGCGACTTTTTGATGTGACTTGCTTGCAACTTTGGAGTTTTGCTTGACTTTGGCTTTGGCCAGTCATAACAATACAGATTGTGACACTTTATTGAATTTACAAATCCCTTTGAAGTCAAAAATGAATCCAACAAATGACTACAATTGAATTAGTTTTTTTTTGTTATAATTTATTTTGGATTAGTTGAAATTCTTTACTATTGTGATTCAGAAATTCGAATACATCCAAATATACAAATAACAAAAATAACAATACAAATTTTGATTCATAAGAAAACAAATTGCTACTTCATGGTTTCACCCCGTGGACATGGTAGTCTTTGACTTTAAGGACTTTAAGCAATTTGTCTGGTGATGACATATAATAGATTGCACTCTGCTTGTAGAATTAAGTAGGTGGTTGGATATGACTACTTAGCTAAATTGACAATTCCTATTTTTGCATATGCAGAGGTTAGCTCGAAGTGGAGTGATGACATACTACCAATGCTACTTATCCAGCATTGGCGGGAGTTGGGGGTATTACAGTAGTGATCAGAATGTTTTCTAAATTATTCACTCAGTTACTCCCCATGAAAGCAGTCAATCAGCATGAGAATAAACTCACAATTGTCACATGTATGGGTACCCTTATGCAAATGTTAATGCTATTTTAAATAACTCTATAAAAAGTAGTTTTATTTATTATTACAGTTACATATATAGCACTATCAATTTACGCAGCACTTGACATATATAGTACATCAGTCCTTGCCCCCAATGAGCTTACGATCTAAGGGCCCAAACTAACATTCCTACCCACACACTAGGGCCAGTTTAGACAGGAGCCTATTAACCTAGAAGCATGTCTTTGGAGTGTGGGAGGAAACCCACGCAGGCACAAAGAGAACAAGTGAATGTAGCACCCTCCTAGTTAGCTAGGGGAAACTAACTGATAATTTTTTTTACATTGAGAGGTAGAGCAGCAGCCTGGGGAATAGTCAGCAGGGCAAAATAGGGTCAGGGCTGAGAGGCTCTGCAGATCTGTTCCTTGATACCTCCCTCTGTTCTAGACTTTTGGAGTAAATTCTAGAAACAGTGGGTGAGGGTGAGGAGGAGCTGGTCTGTAGACTCAAGGGACTCTGGTCAATCCCCAAGCAGGAGGCTTGGCATGGAACCAGAGCAGCCCTTAAGTATGAATGAGCCTGCTCAGAAGCGGGGAGAGTTTGGGCGGAAGATGTGAGGAAGGCTGAGATAAGGAAGGATGAGAAAGAGTCAGTCCAGTAGAAGTCCTGAAGGCAGCCACCTACCTAAACCAGCTCACAGGAAAGAGACTGAGTCAGTAATCTTACGCCTCCTGAGCCAGTTAAGGGAAAAAGAGCACTCTGGTGGGAAACCTGATTACCACCTTACCCAGGACTGTTTCATCTTGAAGTGGCAGGAACTAGATCCCCTTGCCCAGGGATTCCTTCAAACAGAAGGATAGAAGAGAACTATCTGGGGTTTGGGGTGGTACACCAGGAGAGGCTGGAGAGCTTTCCAAGAAGAAAAACCCTTCTATGGACTTGTACACAGTTGCTAAGGAATTTGTACTCAGTTACAGTTCCCTTGGGCATCCCGTACACCAATTACTCCATCCAAGTTCAATTCCCCTAATAAAACATAAAAACCAAGCTCAAGGACTGTTTTCTGTCTCTGGAATGCAAGTCTGTGGAAGACGCGTGTTGTCTGGCTGTGCAGGACTATAGGGGGACCTAAATCTCTAGCGACTTCTAAGAGGGTAGCGCTACACAAACTACTTAGGCACTGTACTGCCCTCTACACCATACATTTCAATTTCACATCTAATATATTTTTTTAACTGGTGCTGTCTCGTGTTGTAATTTGTTTACACTGCTAGATGTAGCTCCATCTTTGTCCTACCATGGTGTCCTACACTGGCAGTGTAATAATGTACAGTTCACATGGATGTCATCTGCTCTCTGCTTCACTGAGGACTGCACAGAGCTGAAAAAGAGGCAAAGAGACCCTGCACATCATGTAACCATCCAGAAGACTGGATGTTTGGGGTACAGTTGGATTTTTAAGTCCTCAGTATGGTCATCTACTCAAGTACTACACTGAATTTACCAAAATAAATAGTGAATTAAATGTGATAAAGGGCTGTAAACACTAAGCTGCAGAAAGAACTGATTGCCAGGTTTGCTTAGCAGAAGGAATTTCAAATACGACAGGACGATAGGAACATAACTGCTTTGCATTGGGCTTTAGTTTAGAAAAGAATGAGTCACTTTTTCTGTGCTGATTTCATACTGGTCATAGCACTGAAATGTTGCAATGTGAATTTTGTTGGATCATGCCCCACACCACAACTGTAGTTAAACCATTTATTCTGATTACCTGTTGTCATTTTGCCAGTGCTTCGAATACCTTCTGCCTAGTTCATCAACCTCCCTGTCGAGTATAATGTACAAAACATGAGCTCAGGAAATTCACTGACATGTATCTGTTGTACAAAGCATTAAAATAACTGACTGCTACATCACAACTGCAAAACAGTCAATGGTGTGACTAGCTTGCAGTGCCGCTCAAAGTCAGCCAATATATGTTTTCCCCAATCCAGGAGTATATAGACTCAAGGAGAATGAACGCCGCTCAAAACGACCCACTGAAGTCAATGGTAGTGTTTGCCTCTAACATGTTTTGGTCCAGTCACCAGGGTCTTGGTCAGAGAGGCACCACCTCTGTGACCAAGCCCTGGGGGCAGGGTGAAAGGCATCAGAGGGCATGGCTGTAGTGGTGGCTGAGGCCAACACTATCATTGACTCCATTGGGCCAATTTGAGCGGTGTCCATTCTCATTGCATGGAAAACAATCAAGCTAAACAAATGAAGTGCTGAATAATTGTAGTTAATTACATATATGTTCCAAGTCTGTGCTGTCCACCTATACTTTTTAGTCCAGTGAAGTGACTTCTGTGGCTCTTTACAGGTTAGCCAGAATTGCCAACACCCAGGTTATAAAGCCCCAGATCCTGCAACAGTACTGTTGACATTTTCATAATTCAGCAAAGGCCATATCATAAAGTTTTCAGTAAGGTCTTCCAAATTGCAATTATACATATTCTAAAAACAAAAAGTACAAAAATTTACATGTATACATACCCATAAATGCATGCACATTTTTGCATAATTTATCTATTCCTACATAATAAAGTATATAGCAATCCCCACGTTAAGTGCTACCATAAATTAGAGTGAGACCCTGACCCTGTAACACAGACGCAAAGTAACCATTCATGTAAAAGTAGTTTATTTAAATTAAACTAATTTAGTTTGTTTTATTTCTAATAACTTGTGTAAATGATGCACATATCCCTGCTTTTATGTCTGTAAAGCCCTTTTATAGATTATGTCTAAAAAAAATCACATTACAGAAAGGAAGGCAGAAAATACTCTATGAAGATGTCAGAATCTGGATGCCAATGACCTTTCAGAGTCAATGAATAAACAGTGCCATAGAGTTCATTATTCTATTCTATTCTATTACCTATCACAATAAGAGCCAAAAAAAAGTAAAGCTGAATTCCGAGTATAGATATTTATGGTTAGTTACATTAATCCATCTTGGACCAATGTAACTATGCATATTACATACCTGGCCAATCCCTGAGGAAGCAGAAAACCACTGTAGTAGACACCACTACTACAGTGATCTCCGCTAGCTTCTGGGTCTCTGTGCCAAGCAGCTTCCCTGCTGCTTTGTATACACAGGAGGTTGCTCATTTGGCACAGTCACCAATCAAAGAACATTTTGTGATGCCACCACCCCGCCTCTGCAGCTCATCCAATCAGAGAACACTTACATTCACTGAGACATCAGCACAGGGAAGGACCAACGGATACACGCTTGGAGCTCACTGCTCCTTCTACAGGCCTAAATAGCCTGCTGATCCACCAGTCCTTCTCCTCTGCTGAGGTCACATCCGCCCTACATGTGTGTTCCACTTTGACCAGGGAGATTTCTGGGTAGTCTACATGGTGTCCTGGGCTCTGTTGATTTCAACCACAGTCGCAAATGAGCAAAGGTTGCTCATTTGGCACAGTCACCAATCAAAGAACATTTTGTGATGCCACCACCCCGCCTCTGTAGCTCGTCCAATCAGAGAACACTTACATTCACTGAGACATCAGCACAGGGAAGGACCAATGGATACATGCTTGGAACTCACTGCTCCTTCTACAGGCCTAAGTAGCCTGCTGATCCACCAGTCCTTCTCCTCTGCTGAGGTCACATCCGCCCTACATGTGTGTTCCACGCTGACCAGGGAGACTTCCGGGTAGTCTAAATGGTGTCCTTGGTTCTGTTGATTTCAACCACAGTCGCACGGAGTTTATCGGTGGGTCCTATAGAATTATATTCAGTGAGTTTTTATTACCATTTTTCTATTAAAGCTACTTTTATACTGCAGGTAGGTTGCGCTTCCCTTCGTTCCCTTATTTTCTCATACAGAGCTGGCTCACTCTGGGGACAGCAGCCGCTTGTGCTCACAGTTTTATGGACATTCATGGACATTTATAAATATAGTTATGTACTATTGACTTTCT